TCCGGGAAGACAATCATGAGGGGGCCTAAGAAGGGACATCTCTTTCCTATTTCACCGAAGCCTATTCCATCTTTTCCCATTTTTTGTAATTCTGCTACTTTAGATATCTTTGATTGGCATAAGAAATTGAGACATCCCAATTCTAATATGTTACAATAATTGTTCAATTCTGGTTTACTTGGTAATAAGAATTCTGCTTCGGTTTCATCGTCTCACTTGATTGTGCTTCATGTAAACTTGCTAAAAATAAAGTTTTGTCATTTCCATCTCAGGGTTCTCTTGCTTTGCATATTTTCGATATTGTTCATAGTGATGTATGGGGTATTGCACCTGTGGTGTCGCGTGCTCATTATAAATACTTTGTTACGTTTATAGATGATTATAGTCTATTCACATGGGTTTATTTTCTTCATGCCAAGAGTGAGGTGTTTTCTGTCTTTCAAACTTCTCTTGCTTTTATTGAAAATCAATTTTCCTCCTCGATTAAAATTTTTCGATCTGATTCTGGGGATGAATATATGTCAAATGTGTTTCAATCTTTTTTACAAACCAAAGACATTATCTCTCAGCGATCTTGTCCTTCTACTCCTCAACAAAATGGGGTTGCAGAACGCAAAAATCACCACCTTCTTGATATGGTTCGAGCTCTGCTTATTGAATCTTCTGCTCCATCTCGTTTTTGATGTGAAGCATTATCTACCGCTGCGCATCTCATGAATCGATTACCTTCTCCCACTCTTAATAATGTTTCTTTATTTTATAAGCTTTTTGGTCACCATCCCACATATTCCCATCTGCGTCCTTCTGGCTGTGTGTGTTTTGTTCACTTACCATCTCATGAAAGGACTAAGCTTACCCCTCAATCTGTCAAGTGTGCATTTTTAGGATATGGTGGAACCCAAAAAGGGTATCTCTGTTATGACCCTACGACACAACNCTCAATTTCATAAGAAATTGATCCCTCTTGGTGACGTCGTAGACAGCCTGTACAGCCTCCAAACTTTCTGGTGAAATCGAAGCATTAATGATATCTGTCTATTCAGCCCAAAGGTTACAAAAGCCGGAGTAATATTCGTCAATGGAGCGAAATTCTTGCAAAAAATTTGCCAATTCAAACTCCAACTGAAGGCGCCGAGCATTGTTATTTTGAGTATAGACTTTCTTCAAGTATTCTCACATAGAACGAGCTCTAATTTATAGGGCCTGAGATTAAGAACAATATTTCCCTCAACAGTACCGATAATCCAAGCCATAATTCAGGAATCCTTGATTTTCCAGGCAAGATACTTCTTGTTTTCCTTCTCTTGATCAGGAGGCGGAATGCTTCCATCAATATGTCCCCACAGATCTTCTTTCCCTTCAATCAACAACTGAAAATAAAATGCCCATGACGAGTAGTTCTTCCCATTAAAACGAATACAAATGGAGTCGATTTTCTCAATTGATATGATGAAAATAGCATATATCCCACCAAAATAATTAATCACAACTTACCAACCAAAAAGCTGCCCAAGCCCAACAAAGCAGCCCAACAAAGAGACAATTAAAAATTTAAATTGTCCAATACAATTAAAACCCCAACACAACTAACCCCAACACAATTAAGCCCAACATAATCGTAACCCACCAGAGGAGGAAACTTCACACGTCTATAAGAAGAAGAAGAAGGTTCGACAAGCGACAAGCGATGAAGGTGCCGACATCGAAAAACGCAGATTGCAGAAGAAGTCGAAGAAACTATGAAGCCCAGTCTTGACCAGGAAGAACACAGAACATACCAAAACACCAAAGAAACTATAAAATCCAGATTCTTGACCAAGAAGAACACAGAGGACGTCGGCTAGAGGTGCCGAAGCCGAAAAACCCGAAGAGAAAACGCAGGTGGTGCCGGAATAGTGAGCTACGACCCTCGATTGAGATGAACACACAAAAAAACAGAGATCCAAATGCGAGCAGCACCCTCGATTGCAATGAATACTATGAGCAGATTTCTAAAACCCTAAACGACACATTCGATAAGTAATTTAGGGCTCTGATACCATGCCCATTTTGCTGAATGATTTTCTCGTATGTATTGCCTTCAA